TGTTTGATCTCATTCCAATGTCGGTAAGTTGGTGTAGAGCTAAATCTTGCCAATAGATTCACTGCAAATGCTATGTCTGGTATTGTACATTGTGCCAAATATAATAATACACTTATTGCATTTAGATACGGTACTCAGGATCAAGTATCTTTTCGTTGTTTTCTTTAGGACGAAATGGATTCTTTTAGGATCAAGAGACTGAACAACCATTGGGGTACTCATGTCAATAGAAGGCCATAAATTATGCCTTGTTAATAACTATTAATCTAAGCTATATATACTCTCATTAATAGGAGAGGAGATTTAGCTCACCATGTATAGCTTCCTAAAATCACTATGTGTAAATAGCATGTAAAGATTTAAGTTTCCTTGTATAACTGGCAGTATTACCTATATAATGAAAGACCTTCTCAAAAGAGAGGAAAATTCGAACCATTCTATTATGTTATCAGAGCCATTCTCTAAGAAATCTCAGTCCTAGTTTTCCTAGTCAAAGCCTCAGTACTTATGGAGAAGTCAATAATGTTTTTGTCAGATTCACTAGCAAAAATTATGTTGCTTGGGAGTTTCAATTGGAGACCTTTCTCAAGGGTAAAACGTTGTGGGGACATATAGATGGAAGCAGCAATGGGGGATCTACTACAGAAAGGTCTGTGGCCGACAAGGCAGCTTGGGATGCCAAAGATAATCAAATCATGTCCTGGATTCTTGGTTCTATAGAGCCACATCTGATTCATTCTCTGCATCCTCATAAGTCTGTAAAGGCTATGTGGAATTATCTCAAGCAAGTCTATAACCAAGACAACAATGCTAAGTGCTTCCAACTTGAGTTGGCCATTGCTAACTATACTCAAGGGGATCTATCAGTTCAAGACTAGAACTCTAGTTTTCTGACTTTGTGGAATGATTATTCCGACCTTGTTACAGCCAAGGTCTCTACAAACAGATTGGAGGCAGTACAACATGTACACAAAACCAGCCAAAGAGACCATTTCTAATGAAATTGAGGCTTGATTTTGAATCTATTTGTGCCTCTCTAGTAAATAGAGATCATGTTCCAACTTTGGAGGCCTGTTTTGGGGAACTCTTGCGTGAGGAACAACGCTTCAATACTCAGAATATTATGGAGCAGTCTCGTGTTGCTTCTAATACTATCTTTGTTGCCTATGCTGCTCATGGCAAGTGGAAGGGTTGTGACATGAGCACCACACAGTGCTATAGTTGCAAGAAATATGACCATATTACCCCTAACTGTCCTCAGAAATTTTGTAATTACTGCAAGCAACCAGGGCACATTATTAAGGATTGTACTATTCTTCCTTCACGCTCCAACAAGGTCTATCATGTTGTTGTTACTGGTGACTTATAGCAGGCTATGCCTGCTGCTACTGCTGCCACTTCTGTTGTTGCTTTACAGCCTCCAGCACATTTTCTAACCAGAGAAACGGTGCAAGAAATGATTGTGAGTACATTTTTAGCATTGGGTCTTCAAGGTATTGGTTCTTCAACTCCTTCTTGGATCTTAGACTCGGGTGCTTCTAATCATATGACTAATTCTCTCCATGGTTTAAGTAATGTCAGAGAATATTGTGGCTCTTCACATATTCAAACAGCCAATGGTAGTGCTCTACCCATTGTGGCAGTTGGTGATGTATCTTCTTCCTTTAAGGATGTTCTTGTATCACCTAATCTCTCTGTGAATTTAGTTTCTGTTGGCTAGCTTGTGGACCAAAATTATAATGTACATTTTACTCATGGTGGTTTTGTTGTGCAGGATCAGATGTCAGGGCAGTTGATAGCGAAGGGGCCTAAGCATAGACGTCTCTTTTCTCTACAACTACCTATTCCACGAAGCTTACCTTCTTTCTCTGTACTATCTTTACTTTGTAATAAGTTTAGAGTCTCAAATGAAGTCTGGCATAAGCGTCTTGGTCATCCTAATTCTAGGATTCTATCTTATTTGTTGAAATCTGGTTTATTGAATAATAAAGAGCATTCATCTTCCACTGTGTTTCTTGATTGTGCAACTTGTAAACTTGGCAAAAGTAAGACTTTACCTAATTTAACATTAATCCTAATTTAATTCTAATTAATTTAAAATAAGATAGAGTCCTAAAATAAAATAGGAAAGTGGTGATTTTGAGCTGTAACTTGCGTGCCACATGTCTCCAATAATAAATTACCCAATTGATTTGCATGACAAGGCAGAATGTTCCAGGACGTCCAGTGCAGATGCGTCAACTTCAAGCTCAATTACAACCTTGATGCAGCAAGTATCTCTCAAAACTCAAAACATGAAAGTTGTAGATCTCTTTCTTAGCGTTCCAATAATTTTGAATCATCTCAATCGGAGCTCAGATGAGAGAGTTATGCCCAGATTACGAAACAATGTCGAAACTGTCCGAATTTACTTAATTAGTTCCGTTTTGCAATTAACGCCTCCATCTGCATCCTAAATCAAAATAGAATAATAATGAGTATATTTAGACAGCAAATATACTCATTATTTGCTGTTTGAGTGAAACAGAAAACAAAACAAAAACAATTTAAATCGAAATCAATTAATATAACAAAACTTGGTCTCAGACAACGTCCGCCATCGGAATCTTACAACTGATCATTGATGCAAAATTAAATCAATCCATACCTAAATATTCACCGTTGGAACTACTTTCCTATCTCTCCTTAATTGTAATTAATCAAGAAACAAGCAATCTTAATTAATCTTATCATTAAACAACCATAAACAAGCGCTCAAGATTTAATCTAGTGGCAGCCTTAAGAATAAGAGAAATCGATGAAGCTAAACAACACAAACACAAGCAGTTGTATTTAATTTAGTTGAATGTTCTTCTTAAGATTACTAATTCCTGACGCAGCGAATTATTAACCCTAATTACTTCACAAGTTAGAGGGATCAAACAATTACGGATTTGATATCTAACTTAGCAGTAGATTGCAACAATTAATAAACTAGTAGACCTCCCTAGTAATTAAACGAAACAATCATAAAATTAGGCATAGAAAAACATCCAATACTCAAACATGAAAATTGAATACTAAGAAAAATATATTAGATCTCACAGTTTAATTATTCCGAGGCCTTCGTTTCCTTCAACCAAGTTATAAAAGTTCTAGCCGTTCATGGCCATAACAAAAACTCCAGAGAAAGAAAAATTCCAGAACAGAGAAGAAAGAGATGTGGTCCCCCTCTAAAACCCTAATCTGATCCCTTTGCAAAAATCCAGTTTTTTTTTAGAATTCGAATCCCACTCAATCTCCTAAAAGAAATATTCTCCTATCCTAAAATAACATTAATCCTAATTTAATTCTAATTAATTTAAAATAAGATAGAGTCCTAAAATAAAATAGGAAAGTGGTGATTTTGAGCTGTAACTTGCGTGCCACATGTCTCCAATAATAAATTACCCAATTGATTTGCATGACAAGGCAGAATGTTCCAGGACGTCCAGTGCAGATGCGTCAACTTCAAGCTCAATTACAACCTTGATGCAGCAAGTATCTCTCAAAACTCAAAACATGAAAGTTGTAGATCTCTTTCTTAGCGTTCCAATAATTTTGAATCATCTCAATCGGAGCTCAGATGAGAGAGTTATGCCCAGATTACGAAACAATGTCGAAACTGTCCGAATTTACTTAATTAGTTCCGTTTTGCAATTAACGCCTCCATCTGCATCCTAAATCAAAACAGAATAATAATGAGTATATTTAGACAGCAAATAGGTATAAAAGACTAGACATTAAGGGGGATAAATATGATATTTTGCATTCCCATCAGTAATACTACAGTTACAACCTAATCTCACAAACTTTTTATCACAATCCCATATGATAGCTCGCAATTGGTTAACTATTTGCGAGTTGACCAATTACGAGTTACCACATCGGGGTTGTGAGAAAAAATTTATAAGATTAAGTTATGAGTCAATCTTTATCCATAAATCTAATGTTGTTAACTATACAGTGCTCAATATAGCATTGAAAATAAAATTTATCTCATTATATTCTTTTGTGCCTTCAAGCCAAATAACTTCTATGGTGAGGTCATTCTTTGTCCTCTCCCCACTATGAACAAATCATGACCTATGTCCATTGCCCTTAATCCTTATAGCTGCCTTCCACTGTCTCCTCCCCGTTTTGTTCACCACCTTCTAAGAATAAACAGTTGATTCATCATTTACATTCTTCATCCTGAAGTCGTTTATAAACACTTCATCAAGCTGCTTCTCCTTGTCATTGTCTGTTTCCACGGTTAGTGTTCTAGGATTGTTTGGATCAGAACTTGGTTTAGCTGCTGGCTCAACCGCTTCCTCTTCTGGTGTAAATCTCATCACACTAAGACTAATTCCTGGATGCTCAGACATACGAAATGCTGGGTTAGTGGCTTCCATTCCTCCATCAACTGTTTGGTGTCTGTAGAATGGGATGATTATGAGGGCTACACGTTTGCCAAGTTGCATATAACTTCATGCATGTGGAGTAAGGGGAAATGGCAGTTAGGGGCTTAACAGAGACACAACCAGCATGCTGCTCATAGTTTTCAAAGGCATAAAAAATGTGGTCTGACTGATTATAGGGTACTGGTAACTGTGATATCTATTCTATTGTACTGGAGGAATTTGCTATTGAATTTTATGTGTTTTCAATCAGTCCATTCAATTCTGCTTTTGAGCATGTGCATTTATTGTATTCTAATTCAAATTAAGGAATCCTTTCAAATGTCCATTTTCTGCTCAAGAATCCACACATGAAAACAAATTTATACAAGGAATGCTGCCATACTGCCATCACATTCAAGTTTAGATATCCTGCAATGCCATCAAAAAAAATATTATATATTAAAATCTTAATTAAACATTATGAAATCAGAACAACTGAGTCTGGAAAAATTACAATTAATCAGGTTTGATCACAAAGATCCTCCTTCATATGTACACTCAAAAACGTTTCATTACTTCTTGGTTTACAACTTTGTCTGCTCAATTTGCAAAAAGTAATACAGAAGTGGGGCTGGAGCTGACAAATTCCATATTAGAATTTGCAGTAGTTGACAAAGTTGCTCCTGGTTGGCACAAATTTGCGGAAGGCATCTTCACTAACAGCTTCTGACACATGATTGTATCCTGGAAATCTAGGAAAGTATAGTTTGAGTACTTGAGTCTCTCCCATTTTGTCATCTCTGAAAACCCGAATTTCGTAATCCATGTATTTACCACACTATGGGCTGAAGGCAATATCAAATTCATCACTCCTATTTCAACAAGCTGCCTTTCAAGCTCACCCATCAGGCGATGACACATTCCTTGTCCGCGATACTTGAATCTGGTAGCAACTAATGGCATCTCAGCAACCTCTTCAAACACTCTAACAGTTGCCACAGAAACAATTTCTCCTTTCTTCTCCAGAACAACTGTGTAGAATCCTTGAAAGTTCTTGTGCTTCATCTCTGATTTATTATTTAAGATAAGATCTTCAACAAGATCTTTTCCCGTTAAAGGGTCCTGAGCTGGCTCAAAACACTCATGCATAACATCAATTGCCTCATTCAACTTCCTCTGATTCTCCTTTAAGACCTTACCATTCTTCAATAATCTCCAGGTTAAATCATCTACGCCTAGTGATATAGGCATTCTTGTAAGCTTATGGAGGCAAGTAGAAACATGTTCACATCTATCACTGCAAAACCATTTATCATGAGCATAATTTTTCACCTTAACTTCCCCTCTACTCCTCAGACAACCCGTGTGAAATTTATGCTCGCATTGATCACAAGTGTGAACAATACCATCATCCACAGAATTCTCCATTGTTTTCTCAGATTTTCCCTCACCACAGATCACACAACAACATGATGGGCAGAACCAATCTCCACTTGGAATCTCCTCTAAGCCAAGGCAATCCTTGTGATAAGTGGAAGGACATGAACACATATGATAATTCACCTCCATAGTGGCAAACATAACACACCTCATAACTCATATCTGATACCACTATTTTCATCTCATCACACAAGTTCTCTCACCACTTGCCGATTTATTATTGCTCAACAGTCCCTTTTGACAGTCCAACAAAGACCTCCCATCTTCAAGAAAATATTTAGACAGCCGCTATGCTTTTTGCTACCCACATGGGCTTCAAAATCACTGATTGTAAACACCTTAATGCACCATTTACACTTGATCCCTGGTACTACATATCCACCCTTCACCCAAATTCCCACTATAACACACGAATTCACCTGGCGTTACCACTTTCTTTTCAATCAACTTAGACATACACTCTAAGATTAAACCTTGAAGTTCCGGAATCCCCTGCACGCGGGCTGGCTTTCTTTTTCTTTTGACCTCTCTCTTTCTTCAATGCTTTCAACGTTTTCCCTCTTCTGGTTCCCTAATTTTCGACTTCTCCATCTTCCTCTTTTTTCTTCTTGACCGTAAAGCGTCAGAAGATTCAGTACAAGACTCTTTTGACTTTGTATTTGATAAGAAAAACAACTTCTTTAAAACTCTTCATCCATGCAAGCCTTGTAGGCTGTTTTAAGCGAGTAATAAACTTTTCCCTGTGGCGAAGTGTACTTAACCTTTTCCTTCCTCGTTATCTGTGCGTACCACAAACACCATCTCATAGCCAAGAGTAGTTCTTGGCTTCATCACTGCTTTGTTGTTCTTGTTCTTCCTTCCGCCGGCCCGCCATGGAATACCACTGGACAACCCGTCTGCCCCTGAAGAAGAAACAAGGAATCCTTGTTCACCCCTTAGTTCTTTGAATATGTTTGACATCGAACGCCATGAAACCAGAGAGAAAAGAAAGCATAGAGCGAAAAATGAGAGCGAACAATGATTCTTGCGGGTTAAATTTTATGATTGAGAACATTTATTTCTGAAACGAACTACTTGTGCTTGGGAAGACTCTGCTTGCAACGGAAGTAATGTTATCTCCAACGGCTTTTTTTTTTTTAATTAGCAAAATTGAAATAACATGAGTGATTCGAATGAATTAATAGAGTAATGATTTGCTTCTTATTCATACAAATGACAAAAAAAATATCAAATGATAAAAGGAGTTATTTTACATAAATTTATGTAATTTTTGTCCGTTTATATAATTTAATTATAAACAAAATATATTAATAATATTTTATAAACAACCCTATTATGTATTAATTTAAACTTTTATTCTTAAAAATAAAATAAAATTTGGCTTACTCAAAAATTTCACTTTTATTGAAAGTCAGTTTCTGTTAAATGCTTTATAACTCATAATTTTTTATAACTCCACTAAAAATTCAATTTTTATTTCTCACAATTTTCTATATAGTATTACATATATTTATATATAATCCACAAATGTGATAATATATAATATATTAATATTAAAAATAATTAATTTCCAAATTCTTGAATGTTTGATACGAGTGTGTTGTAAGTTGGAAGCCAGCCTAGGCCCAGCACCCGGCTCAATCTCTGGCCCAAGAACTGCAAATTTAAGATGAGCACAGGTTAATACGTCATTTATCTATCCTTACAATTGGTTTCATCTCTCGCTCGCCAACTCACTAACTTTCCCGGGAAAATAAAAGGAAATTCAGCTCCTGGGTTTTTAGGTTTCCGAAAATGTCTCAGACGGGGAAATTGATGCCGAATCTGGACCAACAAAGCCCAAATGCTAAATCTACTGTCCTCCGCGAATCATCCTTTCATTGAAGAGATTTTGATCACGGCCGCTCACGTCACCTTCTACGAGTTCAACATCGAGAGCAATCAATGGGTTTTGTTTTATTAAATTTTAAACCTAATTTGGTTGTTTTTTTATTATCAATTCTTCAATTTTTATTTGTTTTTTGTGTATCTGATTATGCAGAGTCCGCAAAGGATGTTGAAGGATCTCGTTTTTGTGGTTAAACGTAATTTTGTTTTCGATTTTAAGCATTTTTTTATGATTTTTTATTTTTTATTAAAATTTGTTTTTTGTTGTGATAGGAATACTCAACCGCGGTTTCAATTTATTGTGATTGAATCGGACGAAATACAGTCTGAATTTTATTAAGAATAGGGTTCATTTTTTGTTGCTATGTTACCCTTGATTTTGTACTGTATGGAGTAATTATTTTTATGTTGAAGTTGAAAGATCTATCTTAGAGATATTTGTACTGATGGTGGATACGTTCTTAGTGTATGAGAGATGATTTTGCATTGATGCATTTGGTGATTGGATCATGCCATATATTGGTTAAATTCGCTAGTCTGTGTGTTAGGAACTTTTTTCATTTTCGAGGTAGCTCGTGATTTCTATTGCTTGTTTTGGTATTTATTGTCTGATTATAGTTGGTAAGTGGTACGTTTTGGCAGGTTGATAATCAAAATTACAAGTCTCAAGAAGTATTTAGATTGACAAGTTTATTTACTCTAGACGATTAGGAAATGTTTGGTTGTTTTAAGTTGCTTGGTATGTTTTATGGTTCAAGGGAACTTGGCGTTAGGAAGATAAAACCTTTTTCTTTTCCCTTAATTAATGCTAATACTGAATAAAGGAGCCCCATGATAAAATCAGTGTCTTTTACCTTCATTTAGGAATGGGAAAAACTGCTGATTGTTTTTGGCGCAATTCAGTAGATAAAAAATAGTTCTATTTCTCCTTTCACATCTCACTTAGGGTTACTCAGGGTTGATCCTTTGTTGATTTAAATTTCAGTAGGTATTAAAGGAGCTTATTTCAAATTATAATATATTGATAGTACGCCGTGTGCCACCTCTCTTAGAATTTTCATTTTAAGTTTTATAAGTGAATCCATTTTCTTTTCACTGAAAAATTGCATATTGTATATGTATTGGGACAAAGTTTTCTTGTAAATGCTAGCATTATATATTCTCATTTATGCTATCTGGTTCCCTTTCTTTTCTCTTGCTTATAAACAGAAATCTAGTGGAGAATCTATTGGAGATTTTTGGAGTATGAAGTTTCAAGTTCCATATTTTTTATATCGAAATGCATCCCAAGAAGTTAATGGAATCTGGTTTTATAATCTCGTGAATGGATGAGTTGCAAATCTCTTTTAGTAATGTTTTGCTCAATTGTTTTCATGCACTACTTAGATTTGAGAATTCAAGCGTATGATAGTAAAATTGATTAACTTTTAAAATATATAGCAGAAAGCTCTTAAATGAATATTACAGGAAAAAATGTTAACAATGTCAATAGATGTATGCATCCTTTGGTACCTATCTTGGCATATAAAAGTAAACTTTTTTTTTTTCTTTCAATTTCTTAACCTTTTCAGGATTTGAACATTAGTTAGTTTGTAGTGAGTGTGTGGTGGATTAATATAAAGATTCTTAATGTAGCTTGCAATGTTTGTTCAAATTTAATTGCTCTGTGGCCTCTAGTGTGTTTTAAGATGTCAAGATAATTTTTAATCCCTTTCTTTCTGTCCACAGTCGTTATGCCTACTCAAAAGTTCCTCAAAAGCCAAAAGTATCGGCAAGCAAAAGGTAAGAGTTTTTTGTAACTGAACCCATATTAACATTTGACTAGCTCTTGAATCTCTATAACTCTTGAATCCCTTTTGGAATCATTTATCTGTCAATGGTGTAAAATCTCATCATAAGTGAATGCATTGCCTTTTGCCCTAGTTCTTATGAGATTGTCGTGTACCAATAATACTTTAAAAATGTAAAATAACTTATTAAGTGTTCGGGCAGTAACAGTTGGTCTTGTGGAGTATGGTTGTTCAACTATCAGTGCTTTGGATATTTATTCTCCTGTTTTTCAATATGGTGTAAAAAGAACTGTAAATCTTGGGAACTGAACCAAGTTGATATGTTCCTTTAATATTCAAAACTTGACCAACATTAATGAAGCTAGATTGTAATATTTTCAGTTAATGCTTCTTAATTTGATTTTGTTTGATTGAGAAATGTGTCCTTGAGAATGTGGTGCATGACTCTATTGTTACTTTCTCAATCTTGAGTCTAATTATCTCGTATGAGTTTGAGGACACTTGAAGCGGTCCCAAGCCTCTCTATAATGAAGGCCCTCTGGAGCCTCACATCAACCGCCTCTACTGTCACTGATCCTTCTGAGATCCTACTTTTGAAAACTTCTTCAGTGTATGGGAAGTGGTCCATATATTCTTCTGGCTGACTAAAGTATCCAATGTGTTTCCTGGCCTGAGTGAATATTTAAATTTTGTATTGCAGGCGCTGTGACTATTTGAAATAATGCTCCTAATGCTGCTAATAAGGCAGCCTATCATTCTTCTGCTCCCATTCTTTGTTCGCCCATGCACCTACTGCTGTTCCCTCTCCTGCACCAACTCCACATTACCGTCCCTTACTCTTTCAGCCTCATCACCTACAGTTGCTCTCCATGACACACCTGACCCATCAGCAGCAGCATCGTGTCACTATCTTGTGAAACCCTCATTTTTTTTTGCACCTCTTCCTCATCAGCGTGTGATTACAACCCCTACTTCTTCCCATCTGTACCAACTGCTGCTACATTCAACCTCCCTTGAAATCTGCAACCCCATATGGAAACTCCAATGCTTCACCCTTTTCCACCACCACTCCACCTCCATCTCTTACGCCGGGAGCTGCCCCTACTTCTATTGATGACCTCTTATTACCAGAGAGAAAGTTCGTGATGCCTTCTAATGCTTGTTCAGGTATTCCCATCACTTCTCGCTTTCTTCGTTTCCTAATTCATTCTAGTAGATTCGGATAATTTTCTGTGTCTAATGATTTTATAAGTTTATCGTGTTTGGGTTGAGTTAATGGCAACACAATATTATTATGTTTCATAGAGATGGTCCCTTTGCTTTTGGAAGTCTGGAGTAATATTGCCTTTCTCTTTTGTGTAGTTGTTGGCTGTGGCCTTGACTGATGTATTTTTTCTTTTGTTAGGATGATCAATTTAATAGACCAGTTTTATCAAGCACTTGCTGAAAGTG